TGTGTTGAGAGACAGAAAATTTACCTTACATGTCTGAACAATGCAAAATATTTCAAAATACCGCTAAATTTAAGGATTTAATCTTTCCAAGGATTGCTGGATGATGTGATTTCTTATTCTGCAGGCCCTGCATAAAACCCAGACTGTTACCATCTTTAAACAGTTGAAAATTGCAGAGGTTATTTTGGCTCTTTGCTGTCCAGCCATCCTTCTGGGAGCTATATTTCTCTTCTTGTTTGAACTGTATGCTTGTTGCTGAAATGTAATTGCTGACCCAAGGCCAGCGGGGGATGGGGGTGTCACACTTCTCGGAACAGGACCCCTCTTACCAGGCTCCTACTGGAACCCATGGGGAGTCAAAGACTCACAAAAAGAGGTTTCAGAGGCATGTAGGTTCTTTGTTTCTCAGAAGACAATATAATGGGTTAAAGGTGGTTATAACCTGCAGAATAAGTGTGCCTGGAAAAGGAAATTTTACCACTGAGTTTTGTGGGACCAGGATTTTACCCTTTGACTTTGGATAGCATTTCATCTCTTGGGTGTAGCTAGAAAAAAACTCTTGTTGAATTCAACACTGTCCTTATCTACTAATTCATATAACACAAACCAAAATATCAGTGGGAATTTCTGCTTGCACAATGAGCAGTACAAGAGTTAGCACTGGACACCATATAAGGAGAAAGTTGAAATTCTTGTTGCAACTTGGATTGCCTTCTCCAGTGGTTTTATACAGCTCCACTGAATCTACACCCATTCTTGGAGTTTTCAGCTCTTTCCCTTTATTTGTTACTAGTGTGAGTGTAGTCTCTGTGTATGAGCATGCATGTGTGCACATAAGTAAAAAGCTTTTACTGGTCTTGTCTTTCCTTTGTTGAGTAATATTTCTAAATAAGATTTTTAATACTCAAAGAAATACGCTAACACTGCCCTTGAAGCTTTACTTACTTTGTCTTGTCCTCACGCTGGGAGTAACTGTTCCTTTAGGTAACAGATAGAAAGCCTATTTTCTGACATTTCAGATCCAACAATAGTAGCTGCAGGGGCAACAATGACTAAAAACATTTGAGTGAAAATCTGGTTTATGAACTACATTATAGGCAGAATTTTCTTTTAAAACTATTTACAATTAATTTTACATAGCCATTTTATATGTAAAATTATTCAATTCCATTCACAACAGGTAATGTTGCATATTAAAAGTGGATGCATTGCAATATTTCTTGTACAAACAGAAGCTTTGTCCTCCTGGAACTGAAGGGCTTCGGAGGACTAATAAAGACAATGAGAAACTCAATGTTTGCTCCTGCTGGCAACGGCAGTAGCAGTTCCAGTGATGTCCTATATGAAGTCAAGATTACCATGAGAGCCTTGAGGTCATGTTCTGCAGTGTGTCCTTGTGCACTGCAGAACACCCAGGTCTTTAATGGTCCCTACAGACATCTAATAATAACTTAACAATTAATACAAAGCTTTTTTGTAAATAAGAGAATTCAAGATTACCATCTGGCTGAAGGGAAGGCTGTAGTGTCTGGGTTTGGCTGAGAGGACACATGCTCAGGGGCACACTTGAGTCAACAGCCTTCATACACTGCTCTGTTCATAACGTTTTTGCAAGTTGTATTATTCATCATAGATATAACATACAAAATAACATCTACTTAGTATCCAGGCCAGGACCATGTTGCCAGCTGGAGTGAGTGGAGGAAAAGAGCAGATAAAGCCTCCTACCTCCACAGTGGACTGGAAACTGTATTTGCAGAAGAGCTGAATTTCTCAGCCCCTCTTAAAATTCCACTTCTAGCAATGCCTCACTATTCTGGACAGTATTTCTAATGAAAATCTCCTATCCTACTGCTAGGATTTAACCTGCTAGATAAAGCTAAAATTAGAATAGGTCTTCCCCAAAATGTCATGACAATAAATATTTTACAAGTGTCTGTGACCCTAAGCTGAAGAGCTGCACAAGCCTGGTGTCTTAGCTTAGCTCTTAAAGGTTGTTATCATTTAAAGAAGCACTACAACAGTAACTTTGTTCTTCTTGACAGCAGCTGGATCTGCTGGTAGCTGGATCACACCTGGAGGCAGCAGTAGAGCCTGCAGTATGACACTGAGGGCAGGAAATTCACTGAGGGGGAAAACGGGGCTAGCTTGCTTTTCCTCCTTTGAGAAGGTGTCCTCTCAGGCCACTACATGTCCACCTGTCCCTGGTGATACCCAGGATACACTAGAAACACCAACGCCTGTGGTGTGTAGGACCAATCAGATCAACAGTCACCACAGCTCTGTGCAGGTGCCTCTCACTTCAGCTCCAGTGCAGCAAGGTTCCCCAGTTCCTGCCCAAATGATGAATACTGGATTAAAGTCTGTGTTCATCCTCAGTGGCAGCTAAGTGGCTGGATCTCAGTCCTATGGGTAGAACAAACCCAAAGGTATTTTCCTGAACACAGAGGAATTGCTTTTTCCGTTAACTCAGAAGAAAATTTGGGCCACAGAGGTTAGAGCTCAGGGCAATAGTGGGATAGTTTTTAAATTTACTATTGAATTTCATATATAAGCCTCTATGACTGCCATGCCTAAAAGCTTTCTTGGGTCAGCAGCTACAGAGGCTACTGCTTGCTGAGATGAGCCTTCAGAGTCCCCACATTAAAACCATGTTTTTGTGGACAAAAGGTGAATAATGCTTCAGCATATGGTTCCTCTTAGAGTATTTCCTTCGGTTCTTTTTTCAGCTTTATAATAATAAATACATAACTTTGGGACAATTTTGCATGCATTCCTCTAAGAGATCTGCTAGTTTTATTTGTATAGGGACCCTAAGGATATAAAATATGCCTTGCTGGGCAAATTATTCTTCCTGAAAACCAACAAAGCCCTGCTCTCATATCTGGCCTAAATTTGTTTTGGAGATTGGTTCATGTTTACCAGCTGCTTTCCTGGCTACATTTTTGTATCTCTGCTTTTTACACTGTATTGCTTCAGACTGGGTAATTGTAAGTAGCTCACTACATTCCTTTCTGGTTTTCATATTCTAGGTAGAGAATTTGGTCTAAGTGTGGAGATGTACAGTAGCCTCAGGGCTTTGAAATGGTTTTACCATTCCAGAGGCAGGGAGCAGAAGTCTTATGGACTTAGAGTATAATTCTCCTCATTTCAGCAGTTCTCTCCCTTTTCAGGTCTACTGAAACAGGAGGGAGCTAGTTTCCGTACTGGCAACTGAAGAATGTATTTAATATTCTCAGGTTTACTGAACTGATTATATTGACTCACATTTTACATGGCAGTGTGTTTCATGAGAATCTATTCTCATCACTCTTTCTTGTGTTACTCTTATTTTGTGCTGCCTTTCCCTATATTCATGGCAGTTCAATTACTTTATTGCTACTCACTAATTAAACTTACTCATGATTTTATTGAAAGATATTGGTTCTGAATGATATGCACTTTGCCTGGTCAAATGCTGTTTCTCTTTGTGTGAAGGCAGAAGTGACGATTCTAGGTGGCACATTGCTGACTCCCGTCTGAGATGACTGGCTGGATGACACCTTGGAGCACCAATTCAGACACTAGCAGGGTCCAGAAAGGTGTCTTTGATGTGTTTACTTCTAGACACACAGTAGATTTACTTAGAAGCTGGCAATGGCATTGATTTTTTTCTTGCTCTCTGTTTAATGGCGCATTATAGATTTTGTGGGTTTTTTTGTGTTTTGTACTAAACCCCCTACGTTTTGCAGTTACTGATGTTTGTGGTCAGGCCACACTGTGGCCCACAGCAGACTAAAAGCCTACTGTGTCCTGCTAACTGAGCTCTGGGGATGATGACCCAGGAGTTCCCAGATGTATTTACGTTCCTGTGTACTGACTTTTGGGGAGGATATTTTTACTCAGTGGCTTTTTTCCATGTATCTTCTATTGTGGCACTGATATCTTGTGATTTTGCCAGTGCGTTTTCCCTGAGAGAAACTAATGATCAGGTGGGGGGAAAGAACAATGAGCAAATGTTCTATTTTAATACGGAATTTTGAATTTGCCTATGGGCAAAGAATTCAAACAGATTCAGATAGTTATTTCAAAGTATTTTGACTTTGTCATTTCACATTTAAAACTATCACATATAGAGGCACATAAGTTTAGAGAGAAGAATAATGTTTAAGGATGGTTAATGTCATAATGCATTTATTAGCCAAACATAAATGCATTAGCTTATACATAAACACAGAATCCTTGCCAAAAGGCTGCTGAAAGGTGACACTGAAATAAAGCAGCAGATGCTGAGAAATGAGACCTCTGTGAATGAGAGTGAGAAGGAAATCTGGTTTAGTCTTTATTCATGGCTTTGATCTTGTGTTCAAACGATGCTTTCACAATTTTGGATGAATGTTTATATCATTTTAAAATCAGGATGTAGTAGAGGAACTAGGACTTTTGGGGAAAAAGAATGAAATTACGTAGAAAGGCACAGTACAACTCCCTTCTTCCTCTCCCATGTAAACTGTATGAGTATCTCATGTCTCCTTATTGCCTGATACTTCTGTGGCAGTAGGAAAAAAAGGCTTAAAACCAGAGGTATAGGTCTTATAAAGCATTAAATATGTCTTTGCATATATCATATCTCATCTTATTGCTGCTAGGCTACCACAGTCCTGTATACATTCCTAACAAAGTGTCCTGGTGTTTAATAATCTGGTATGTCTTGCTTGTAAATAACTCAGAAAAAAAGATATCTTTGATGATTAGCTGATGAATTATCTGCCTTTAGATATTTCTTGCTTGGGGCTAGAGTGCAGCACTTAGAGCACCGAGCTGCAGAATGAGTGGTGGCTCAAAGCTGCCCAGAGCCTGTGGTGCTTGAGTGAGGGGTTCCAGCCTGGCTGGCTCCAGAGGGGAGGAAAGGGCTGGCTCCTCTCTGCCTCTGGAGGAAGTCCTCACTGCTTTCCTCAAACCCCAGCCCATATGAAGGTCCTGTGCTGACTCTGAAAGCTTCCTGCATCATCCCTCTTACTTCTGCCCCACTAGACAAATTCCTAGCACAGTCTGATGTGTTGCAAGTTTGGGAATTAGAGCCTCTGCCTGTCCTTGCCTCCTATTTCGTCACTTAGCATTTATCAATATGATCTCCAGAGGTTACTGGTATGTATAAAAAGAAAACCTGTTTTAGCTTCTCCTTGTGTCTTTTATGCTTTATCTTCTTCAGGTTTTTTTTAAATTTTATTTTATTCTTTACACTTCTTATGTATAAAAACTGAAACTTTTTACACTTCAGTTTATTTTCCAAAATTAGAGGTTTTCTGTGTGTACTTGCATAGGAGACAGACATAAATAACTGAAAGTCAGTCCCACATTTTAGATGCTTGCCTAGCTTTTTTAGACCCTCTTAGGCATTGGGCTTTTGCTTGCGAAGGAAAGTCTAATTTTGAACACAACCGTTAAAATTATCTAAAGTAGATTCACTGTAACTTACCTCCTGAGACTTGGTGTCTTCTAAAATGAAACAGGAAGCCCTATAGAACCACCACTATGACAAATATAGGTGGCATGGGCTTTATCTTGCTACTAGGCACCCAGAGGGGAGCCCATATTTATAGGCATGGTGCTGGATTCAGCTCTGCAATGAGCATAGAATGTCAGAAGCCTTCTCTGCCCTACCCTTTGCAGGTGTCCGTATCACCTGTTGCTTCTGACTGATGCAAGCCCCGTTCACTACCTCTCTGTGCCTGGTGGCAGCCAACTGAACCCACGGCTCCCACTGCCCTGGCCCCACTGCAGATCATGGTTCTGCTCCCTGGATGGGAGCACATGACAGAGGGAAGATTGCAGAATAATGTGATCTCAGTGAGGAAAGGTAGTACTTTCTTCTCTGACATGTACAATTTTAATACTGATAGCTCTCACCCCTGAGTTTAACCATTATTTATAACACTGTCTTTCTCTTTTCTTCCTTTCCTTTTCCTCTATAACTTTGTACCTCCCTGGCATATAAAGTTCCTTTATTTCATTCATGAACCTGTAGCTAGCTCTTCCCTGGAGACCTACAAATGTTAAGGTGGATATAGCTCAACAGTATCTGACTGTGGTTAAGCTCATTTCTTTTACTAAATGAGCTCTTTAGTTTAGGATCTGCTGTTATAAGTGCTCTCTCTGACATCTCAAATAAAAATAATAAGCTGTTCTCTCCCAGCAGTGAGCTGCCCTTGGGTGTTCATTAGGATACTAGCTCGGTGAGGGTCCCTGGGGAGTGATACTTCTTGTCCTTTCGCTTTATGCTTCCCAATGCTCACACTCCAGGAGGACCTAAAGCCCATTAGCCTCCTAATGCACATCCTGTTTTGCTTATTGCTTTATTAATACTGGGCTGGGAATGAAGAGCAGATGTTGCCCAAAAATGGCAGCAGCATGAGGGAAAACGGGAAGGAAGACAAGGGTGTCGATTTATTGCATTTGTGGCATTTCATCAAGTGGAAAACCTGGCTAGAAATGTGAAAAACTGAAGGAAAAGCAGAGCTATAAACTCATGCCACCCTTCAGCTGAGTTCTTTCCTCTGTGGGCTGAGGTACCTCGCTGGACATCACCAGCTCCCTGAACTAGCAAGGACACGTAAAGCCTCAAAACTATCACCAGCTAAAGTGTGACCTTAAAAAGATGGCACCTTGGTAGCTCTGCTGCCTTCTCTTCTGAAACTGATCAGCTTAGGAGACCAAGCTGTGAGTTAAGGTCCTGCTCTTCCCCTCTGCTAATGGTTACCATTTCTCTGCCAGGAGGTTGTGTCCCTCAAAGAACAGCAGCCAAGAGGGCTGTGTGAGAGCTCACCACTGCAGCAGGGGCAGCCCATGAGGGAAGGAGGTTGTCAGCCAAGAACTTAGGAACTCCTAAGAGGAAGGGCCTGATTTCACTAGTCCTGACTTTATGTCTTTCACTAACACAGATAAATCAAAAATAGGATGTCAGCCCTTGTCCTTAATCTGGCAAATTGGGAATTATGTTCTTTTGCAGTTGTAGCCATAAACAGACTGGTTTGCAACACCAATTGATTGCTTTGTGCTTGAGGGATACCATGTACTTTAAATTCACTATGGTGAAAATTTAAAAGCAGAAGGTTTGCATAGTAAGTCATATATATTTGTATTTTATTGTGAACTTGGGTACCATTGTTGCACCTTCTGTAATCAACTTGTCAAGTGAAGAGAGTAATAAATAAAGGGCAGGATGCTCATACCAACTGCAGACTACAAATACTCTCTCTGCTCGGCTAACCTGTTATTCAGATCCAAAAGTAAGCAGGGAAGTCAAGTATTTTAGAAGCTGTAGTCAGCTGGAGTAACTTCCCAAAACAAACATCCTCATGTAGTCCTAAGAATAATTTTATCTCTTGACAGGTTTGCCACTGTGGAAAGAATTGAAATTGTGCCTGTTTACAGGCTGTACTGTTTGCAAATGTTGTGAAGGCTGGGAATGCTGTGCCCTTATATTTTCCCATGGGACTGGAGAACATTTTGGTGTATCTATGGTTATTTTGCAATCTCATGAAAATTGTTGATTTTATACAACAACGGTTAGGAATCCTTGTCATAGGAAAGGATTCCAAAACTGATGTAAAAATTATAGAATCATAGAATTGTTGAGGTTGGAAAAGACCTTTAAGATCATCGAGTCCAACCGTTAACCCAGCACTGCCAAGTCCACCATGAAACCATGTCCCAAAAGGCCACATCTACACATCTTTTAAATCCCTCCAGGAATGGTGACTCCACCACTTCCCTGAGCAGTCTATTCCAATGCTTGACAATCCTTTTGGCGAAGAAATTTTTCATAATATCCAGTCTAAACCTCCCCTTGTGCAACTTGAGGCCATTTCCTCTCATCCTATCACTTGTTACTCGGGAGAAGAGACCCACCCCCACCTGGCTACAGCCTCCTTTCAGGTAGTTGTAGACAGTGATAAGGTCTCCCCTAAGCCTCCTTTTTTCCAGGCTGAACACTGCCAGGTCCCTCAGCTGCTTCTCATAAGACTTGTGCTCCAGACGCTTCACTAGATCTGTTTTCCTTCTGTGGACATGCTCCAGCACCTCAATGTTTTTCTCGTAGTGAGGGGCCCCGAACCAGACACAGTACTCGAGGTGCAGACTCATCAGTGCTGAATACAGGGGGATGATGGGTGCCCTGGTCCTGCTAGCCACACTATTCCTGATACAAGCCAGGATGCCATTGGCCTTCTTGGCCACGTGGGCACACTGCCCACTCATGTTTTTCCAGCTGTCAACCAGCACCCCCAGGTCCTTTTCTGTCAGGCAGCTTTCCAGCCACTCTGGCCCAGGCCTGTAGTGCTGCATGGGGTTGTCATGAACCAAGGGCTGAAATCAGCACTCAGGTGCCATACACATGATCCATTAGACTTACAAACTGCAGTTACTGGTTCATGTACTAGTTCAAGTGCAATGGAGTTAATGAAGTTTAATGGGATACTGCCTACCAGGTGAATTACACGTATGTTCTTTGGGATGGCTCAGTGAGATGACTGAGTTGAATTAAAAGCTTGTCCTTGTTGAAATGGGTTATCCTCTCTTCCTCTTTCCCTGTGGACCTCCTCTCTCTTTTTCCCTTTTTTTTTTTTCCAAGTTCTTGTGCTCACATCCTTGGTGAAGTGAATCAGCTCATAAAACTGGCAAAACACGTTTTTCGGTTTTTGGTTGTTTTTTTTTTTTTTTTTTCCTTGGATTGGTTTTCTGCTGCCTCAGTGAGTTTATTCAGCTTACTGAGCATTGAGGTGAGTGCCAGAGCTGCAGTGAAGGAAGCTGTGGCCATGGGGGACTGACAGTAGAAGAAGAAGGAGAGAGGAGCTGCAGTAACAACAAGCTGTGGGATGATGAAATAGAAGAAATTGTGTTAAGGACCTTATGTAGAAAGAAAGAATCACTGAGAAAAGTTTTTCAAGAATCCTTGAAAACCTAACTGAATTGAAGAAAACACTAAAACTACAGGCCTAGACAAGCACTAAACTTGGGGCGCATTATCAACAGGAGAAATGTGGTTGAAAACCAAAGGAAAAAAACCCTATTGTTTTGGCTGTGTTGAGTTTGAGCTGTTTGAGTTACAAGCAAGCACAAAGAGTTATCAAAATACTTCTTGATAATAGCTTAATAAAATTTGAAAATGGTATCCTATAAGACTATCTTATTGATCAAGACTATAAATAAGTAAACAAATGTGGTAAGTAAGTTTTAAACACTTTTTTTAAGGAGTGGAAACAAATCAAAATTAAATCCTCTACCCTGCCAGAAAAGCACTAATTATTCAGAAATGTGTAGAATATTATACTTCTTTGGTGTATTCCTTGGTATTATTTTATGGAAAAGCTTCGGGCAAAAAGAGGAATACCTCAATAGTTCACCCTCTATCAAGCCACAACAAATATAATAATTTGAAGGATTATCTAGACTTATCTTAGTACTAGGGCTTTAAAAAAGGGACTTCAGAGGAAAACAAACCAGTGCAATTCAAGACACTCCACAAACCGAGAGCAGGGGATTAGGAGGAAATTATATGAGGAGGAAACTCCAAACTACTTTTCCCAGGTTTCACGTGTGCTTCCCACTTTTGGAGATGGTTTACATTGGACACAAGACCCCGGACAAATAGGATCATCGAGTGGTCCGGCTATCTATTTTCCTTAAAATAAAATTTTTAAAAAATCAACCCTTAGTTCTTTCTTCTCACTTTTCAGCAGACGCTGTAACTGAGGTCCTGTCTTCCGAATATTTCATTGCCTGTTACACAAAGCGATGCACCACCATCCTAAGCATCCTAAACACCGCCCGGAGCTGCCAACCGTGGTGCTCCACGGACTTTCTCAACCACGGGCGCCGAGTTGCAAGCACTCGGCAGCTCCACGGTTGAGCAAAGGCACCGACCGGGCAGCCCCCCCAAAGCGTGTGCCGCCGCCGGGCTCACCCTCCCGCCAGGACTCCGGAGACTCTGGCGAGAGGGTGTAGCCCGGTTACTGCGGGCCGCCGCTCTGCCCTGTCGGTGCACGTCGCGGGGGGGTCCGGGGTCGCTCCCTGCGCGGGGGCCAGGGGAGGTCGGAGGGCACGGGAGCGCCCGGCGGTATCGCCCGGGCCGGCGCTGCCGCGGGCGCGCCTGCGCTCCGCCACGCCGCCCGAGAGGCGGAGGCGGCCCGGGGGGACCCGGCGTTGGGTGACAGGCGGGGCGGGGGCGCAGGGCCCGGGCCGGCCACCCCCCCCCGCCCCGCGCCGCACGCTCGGTGAGTAGCCCCGTCGTTCTCCTTCGCGGAGAGGGAGGAAGGATCCCGAAGCGCCCCGCCGGCTCCGCTGCCCACCCGCTGCGGGTGGGGAGGGATCCGCCGCCGGGGCGCGGTTGCCCGGGTGCCGCTGCTTCCCCCGCCCGCCCCTCCGCGCGGCCGCAACGAGCAGGAGGCGGCGGGGAGACAAAAGCGGACAAAGGAGGCAAAAGGCGTGTTCCGCTGCCGGGGTAGGGA